AGAGGGACAGGGAACTACTAGAAAGAGTCCAGCGTAGGGCTACAAAGATGATTCAGGGATTGGAGCATCTCCCTTATGAGGAGAGACTGAGAGAGCTGGGACCCTTTAGTCTGGAGAAGAGAAGGCTGAGGGGAGACCTTATCAACGCCTACAAGTATCTCAAGGGAGGGTTGAAGGAGGAGGGAGCCAGACTCTTTTCAGTGGTTCCCACCGAGAGGACGAGGGGCAACGGGCACAAGTTGGAACATAAGAGGTTCCACTCAAATATGAGGAGAAACTTCTTCACGGTGAGGGTGACGGAACCCTGGAACAGGCTGCCCAGGGAGGTTGTGGAGTCCCCTTCTTTGGAGATTTTCAAAACCCGCCTGGATGCAGTCCTGAGTAACATGCTCTAGCTCTAGGCAATCCTGCTTCAGCAGGGGAGTTGGACTAGATGATCTCTATGGTCCCTTCCAACTCTAGAAATTCAGTGAAATTCAGTGAAATTCAGATTTCAAATAATGAGTTAATGAAAACCTTGTCAGAATCCCCCACAAAACACTAAGAAAAAGATGGAAAGGAAGATCATCTCATGCACAATAACAACATAGAAGCTAGAAAACCAAAGGTAGGAAATCAGGTGTTTTTTTCAAAAGGAGGAGAGGCCATCCCAGGAATTGAACAAAGATCTGTGCCAAGTTTTTGCCATTTAACATATTCTTATGATCTGGAAGAGGAAATGGAAAAGCAAGGTCGGATGATGAAGTCTACTGATACTAACTTTTTTTCAGAGGGATCAGAGAAGAAAGTACCTGAGAACAGCTGAAGATGGGTATCACCATCTCAAGTGGATTTACTAATAATAAAATGATGGGTGAAATTCTGCATCAGTAAATGCAAAGTATTATGCATGGGAAGAGGGGAGACTCTTAATGATATACTGATGTGGGTATAGGCTTTAAATTAGCCATTATCTCTCAGGAAGAAGCCTAGAGACATTTAGGGTAGTTCTATGTAAACATAAGATCAATACGTGGCAGCAGTCAGAAAGGCAAATAGAACATTAGGTATCAGGGGAGAAATCAAGAACAGAGCAGAAAATACACTTCTGCCACCATATAGATCTTTTGTGCAGCTTCATCTAATTACAAAATCTAGTCTAATGTAATCTCAAAAATATCAGAACAGAGATATTCATTTCAGAGGGCTATTGCAGAACTTGAACACAGCAAAGGGTGTCATGGCTGAACAGTGTTGCAGAATGGCTCCGGGAGGAGGGAAAGATGCATAGATTAGGATTCCTTGAGGCTAGAAGACAAAGGACTGAGGAGGAAAAAAGGTACATCAATGACAACAAAAAATATGAACAGGTAATTAACTGTTTCATGAGCATACAGTTCGGGAAACATCCAGTGATTTACAAGTAATAGCTGTAGAAGAAGAAAATTAATTCCTTTTGCCCAGAGCATAATTAAGTGCTGGCTACTAAGGTCATAGACTGTCATGACTGTAAAAATAATAAAATATCAAAGCAAAAAGAAAAATCACAATGTTTTTTCCACACATTGCAACGTTTCATCACATGTCAATATGAATTATTAACTTGAAAGCTAACCGTTACCCAAACATCAATATAACTCAAATCCTGAAGTACAGCACTGCTTGAAAGGAAAGAAAAAGACCTTGTGGGTTTTTTTTTTATCAGTGTTATAACTTAGTTGAGGTTCCAGAAGGCAAGTCTTTTGTTTATGCAGGGCTCCAGGAAAGTCTCTTTTTTACCTTTTTTAAGTGTAAATAGAGCTAATAAGCCAAGACATATTGCCAGCTAAAGTGATGGTAACAGCTGTCACCAAGCCCCAGATTACTTTCCCTTCATGTGGTCAGTTGTTCTCATACAATTTGTCTTGCACCAAGCTGTCCAGACAACACAGGGGATGCACCACCTCTCACTCGAGTTTCTGCTCTTCATTGCAGATGAGTTTGGGTTGCCTCCATCAGCAAAAGAACATTATCACTTATGTTGTGTCTTCCTCTGGATGACTTGCATCGGTGCTTTCCTTCTACAATTTAGCTGTCATTTTATTTGTGCTATTATTGCAGTTCACATGTGAGAAAACATGAAAGAAAAAAAAGAGATATAATCATGATCAGAAGAGAAAGAGCTGTGATAACCAGACTGACCAGTGCTTTGCATTTGGGACTAACATTTACTATTTTACAGTCCTCTCCCAACTTCAGTATGATGTTACAGCAGCTGCGAGGTGAGACATCCCCGATTAATATTATTATCTGATTTTTATATCATTAACAGATATGGTCTCTTTGAAGTCCTTGCTTAGATTAGGGAATGCATTAAAATGAATACTATTTCTTTTATCTACCCTTATGAGAAAGATAGCAATGGAAAAAAGATGTCTTCCTTTTATTTGTCACTATTGTGGGACAAGAGGTTCCTCAGCTGATGAAAGAAAAAACCTTGATGTTAGTTGGCCTAATTAGACATGAGAAAGACATGAAACAGAATTTCGATGAGCCACACCTCCTGCCTTCCACTCGTTTGTCACATTAAAAGAAAAGACCTTGGGAGCAAGAATGGAAAGTAGCGTGGAACTAGTTAGAAGAGCTGCACGTAGCCGTGCTTGGAGTTATTTCTTTCTTTGCTGAGTCACAAAGCATGGAGTAATATTGGGCTACTGCTTCTGGGGTGTTTGTGTCATGTGCAATAAGAAAGGCATGAGCCACATCAAATATCTGCAGCGCTCAGGTGTGGAGTTAATGGCAGGGCTTGTTGCCTTCTATCATACTCAGGATGAGCCCATGGTTTGTAGAATATGTTGGAGTATTGCCCTCAGCCCAAAAGCACTGGTCTCAGCTGGGGCAGCTCACTACACACATTAACAGAAACTTGTCAATGTAAGGTTTAAATTCACAAAACGCAAACACAGCTGAGATTTTGAGATTACACTATGTTGCCTAGAGGTGCTCAGGTCTTCAGCAACATGCTGCCAATGAACCCTTAGGTTGACTTAATTTTGCTACATACATCCATTCTAGTCTCCCAGTCCACTGTTTTTCTCATCCTGATTTGGTGTTACAAATTTCATCCTTAATTACATTTAACACTGTGCTGCTTCTGCCAAAAATGACCAGACACTAGGTAAATCTCCAGGAACTCAGATCCTCTTGAGGAGAAGCCAAACAGCAGCTTTAGGCTCCACCATGCAAACAAAGAGAGAGGAGCTGGGGGCTTGCAGAGACCATGTTCTGGGCAGGCTGCGATCTTCAGAGAGCTCAAATCTCAGTAATTGTCTTACACTGCATGACCAGAGAAATAGCAAATTTTGAGACAATCTGAATTACCATGTGGTTTTTCAAGTTCTTAGAGTAGTTGACCTTTAAAAGAGACAGCAGTTCACCATCTTAGCTGTAGCTGAGTTGGCACAGTGCTATAATTCTTTTAAAAATAGAGAGCATTTGAAGAGTACTGAGGCTTGACTGGCTTCACAGTCAGCTAACAGTAAAGCTTGCTGGATCATTAATCTTCTGGGTTTCACAAAGTCTACTGCTGTAAGCTAGCTGGTCGTTTAAGGGCCTTCGGCCCAATAGCCCTCTGGTGAGAAAATTCACTTAGCTTCCTGGGAGAATGAATGAATCCCACCATTGAGGGCTGTGGGTGAAAGAGAGGACTGGAAGAGCATGAAGAGCACAAAGCGGTGAAGATGGGGGCCAGGCAAAGAGATGGAAACTAATCTCAACAGGGAGACACTGGACTGAAGAAGAACAGAGGTCTTCTCAGCAGCAGTGTGAAAGCCCTGATGGGAATACCTACAGTAGAGGCATGCAAAAGCAGAGACATAAGGGAGCTGGAATGGCAGGACCAGCCTTTTGCAAGTAACACCTCAAGGACGCTCTGAGACCAGCTGCTCAGAGAGGGAGATTGCCCAGGACAATGGGAAACATGCTGAGACAAAGATACCTTCATTAGACTTCAGACAGCTGTTTACACAATTTCACTAACGTTGAATTGTGCTTCGGAGTAATGGAGGGGACACAAAATAAGGGGGTAGGGGTAAGGAACATAAGAAGTAGAAAATGGCAGTAGTGAATTTGTACAAATGTTAGATGTCTTTTTTTATTAGATATATAATATTTCCATCAGACTACAAGCCCCAAACATTTGCACAAATACCTTTGCAGACAGTTTTCAGGCAGAGACCATTGCTAGATACAACTGCTTTTTAGATGGGGCTGGTTTCCTGGTATCCCAATTACTTGTTTTTGGAGCTGTTAAAGACTTTACTTGAATTTCTGGTCTGACTTCAGCAGTAGAAGCCAAGAACCTCATCTCCATTTTAGAAACTCAAAAGTATCTCCAAGTTACACTACAATGGCTCAGCTCAAGATATGTGTATATTGGCACTGGATTCTTCCATACACAAGGAAAACTAGGGTTGCCAGGCACTAAATCCAATACAGACTACCAGTGTAGGGTAAAATTGGATCACCTGCTGAAGTGTCTAAGATACTATGTACCTCAGGACCAGTGGAAGTGGTTAACCTCTTATTATACCAAGGAAAAACTACTGAGCACTGAAGAAATAACTTCACTTATGCTTTTATCCTGACTATATGCTGTGTCCCCCTATGTCTCATCTCCTAACATCTCTTGTGTCTCTTTTTAAGCTCAGTATTTCGAAGTCTCCTACTTTTCTCTACCATTTGTGTGCTGGGCTAACAGTTTTTTACCCACAGCAGTGTATCTCTTCTGATAAGAGATATGAAAGTGAATGTGATATTCTGCTCTTGAGGAATAAAACCACAAGAATACTCAATAAAACAAAACCTAAACAGCCTCACACACTTTAGTAAGAGAAATCTTCAAATAAAAACAGATTTATTACCAAATTACATTTTAAGTAGTAATATACCAGGCAGCAATATACTCAACCAGAAATGTGATTTGAAAACTTATGTATTTATATATACATTCATGTATTTTGTATCTGTATTATATAGGTGTATGTAGTGCATAACTTGGAAAAAAAAATTACTACAAATTTAAAATATAGGTCAAAAATCACCTTTCCCTAATCCACAGAAAATGAGCAGCATCTCCGTTGATAACACTACATGCCAGGCACAGTTCCTTTCTGAAGATTACAGTGTTTTCAACAACTTTGAGGACTTTTAACAGCTTTGAGGACTTTTAACAGCTCTGAGAAAGTTCCACTTTTTGCCAGTTCCAAAAGTACTTTAAGAAACAGTACTTCAACTTTCGTGCTGATTTCACACTTTCAGATGTGTGCTGTTGCATCAATGCTGACTTCTCGCTCACAGATACCAATTCTTGTTATTATTTAAAAAAAAAAAAAAAGTGTACAGGAATTTAAAATTCAAAGTTAAGTCTGATTCTTTAGTAAAGTTTAAGTTTCATCAGTAACCCATTTGTTTGTAATACATAATGTTGTTGGCAGTGGTTTTGTCTCAGCTTGCCATTAATTAATTTATAACCACAATGCAGAGACAAACTTATTATATGCTATGATGTAATATTACTAGAGGTTTCCCTTAAGATCTCGTTGGCTTAGGTAACAACACCTGAAGATTTACATAGACTTCCCTATACATCACATACAGAACACTGAATAGGACACATGACTGTTTTTATTCCAGTAACAAAAATGTCCTTGTAGAGTCACACAGAGCAGCCCCAGCTCTATAGTTAGGATACTGAAAACACAAATTGCGAGTGGTGGGAGGAAAAGTGAACAAACAGAAGAAATGCTCAAATAAAACAACTGGAAAAGCAGCAGGCACACATCTGTTGTTGCTGCATTTAAGAATTGTGAAGGTCAAGCTACCATAACAGCAAAATTTAAGCATGCGAGCACCAGTGAGAGTATAGAAGATGTAGACAGGAAAGACAGGAGGGAAAAGACAAAGTACCCAAGATAAGCAGAAAATGAAGCTTTTGTACCCCCAGAGCAAGCAGCCCAAGGCACATGGCCATTTCTTCTCCATGACAGGACAGTTTCACTCTCCCCTCTATGCAGGAAAAGGGACTTTTGGTGTTGTGAGGAGCTGCTGTGCCCTTCTTCTCCCCAGTTCTTCAAGTGATGTTGCCTAAGCCATGGAACATATTTTCATGGTGACCATTTGTGCTGCCCAGCACCAAACGGCTGAACTCACCTCTACATCACAATCATTGCTTGTAGTGGCTAGCCAGGGACAACAACATGACAGGCAGAGGTGAAATGACCATGTAAGAGATTTTGACTCATTATAATTCACATTTTCAGTCTCTCATAGGCACTGGAAGAGCTGGATTCAGGCTAAACCCATAAATGCCCTTGGCAGAAGATAATTAGGGATGCTCCCTATTAAAAAGTATCCTACAACTTCTCTTTCATGAAAAACAGCATATAAAATGACAGGTATGATACTTAACAAGAGGGTGTCATCACTGGTGTAGAGTACAGGCATGGAAATTAAGAGATTTCTTTCTTGTCTAGTCATGGATTTCCTCTATGACCACAGTCAGCACAACTATTTTGTCGTGTTTCATTTAACCTCTCCATAAAACGGGAAATTGCAGGCATAGCTCGCTGCATGGTCAAGCTAATCTGCTTAATATTTGTAAAGCTGAGAGGGCAGAAGGCAATATCAAACTGCGGGGTATATATTATGTGAACTAATTCAGTAGGTCTCCAATAAATCTGTCTTACTACATGAATTTCTGTGCTTAAGCAATGTTGCTAGCAATTTGCACTTCCCCTGGAATATGTAACATATCTATATGGAAACCAAATCTTTGCATTACATCATTGCCAAGAAGAAACAAAATATACTTTTATTGCAGAAAATGCATGTAAAAAAACTAATAAATTAAATTAATAGCTGTGTGTTAACAAAGACTTTAAACAACTGGAAGTATCACTTCTTTCAGTGAAGCGTTTGGAGCTGCATAACCTTGAATCTAAATTTGTGCATAGCAACAGAATTGTATTTGACAGTCAGCTCTTAGTGTTTACATTCTGTGCTATTAGCTCTTATAAAACATAAATGTCTTTCTTTTACCATTCATCTGGTATAAAAGCTACTTTTATAGGAGAAGATTTAGGGGTTGATCCACGTCGCCCTTGGACAGCAAGGAAAGAGAGTGCTTGAGCATCGCCACGGTCCCAGGGGCAGAAAGTAGGATTCACAGAAAAAGAGAAGCGGAGGAGAAAGAAACACTCCCTGGTCTCCTTTTGACTTAACTGCACTTACTGGTGTACCACTTGACCTCATAAGTTGTCTCTGCAAAGAGGAGGCAGATAGCTGTCCTCATTTCTGGAGCGGCTCCCCCGGTAGCGCTGTGTTGCCGCAGCTTTCAGCCACCGCGCTGGCTCATGGTCACCTGGAGCTCTGAGCACCACTCCTGTCGTGTAGGGAGAAAAGCAGCTAAGAGAAGCAATTCTTTGCTCTGAATTCACTTGACTGCTGTCCTCACCTCAGGTGGAAAATTTTCAAGGGTGTGCACTGGGGAGGATGCTGTATCACAGCCCCGACTGGCACGAGAGAGCACTGCAGTGGCAGGGCAGAGCCCGCCAGCATGGGAACCTGCAGAAACGAGCTGCTGCTCAAATGCTGGCTTCCCCCATTTCCCTGCCCCACCACCCCTGGCTGCTCTGCTGCTGCTCCGGAGGGAGGGTGGCAAAGAAAATTAGCATATTTAGCACAGAGGACTATACATTCAAGCCCCGCTGTGAATGCATGGGGACCATGCACGGATTCAGCCCCACAACACACACACACCCCCCCTTCCCATGGGCAGGTGGCAAAAGCCCCCACCAAGCCTGCGTGGACTGCAAGAGGAGGCAGCACACCAAAACCACAGTCAAGCCCTGGGAAACCTTCTTCCCCCCACAGCTGTCCAGCAGTGCAGTGACCTACCAAAACCAGTTGGACTGCTTGGAGGGCTTCCCTGCCACCAACACCCTTTTTCCTACTTTCATCCCATTTGTGTCACAGACTTAATTCTTGTCCTGGAGGCCAGACGCTCTGGCCATGACTAAAGGCACCATTCTCAAGGACATGTCGACTGACCTCTCCCACCTCAGCCAGGCTGGTTTGAGATCAAGCACCCACTGGGGAGCCCCATTCCAGCACAGGAAGGACAGAGGCTACTGACAGACTGACTGCAGCAGGGCTTGCTGGGGTTCCACCATTCATACTGGGGTTGCAAGAGCTGAAAGCCTACAGCATGAAACTCAGCAAAACACTCCCACCACCACCACCACACAGACACACACACGCAAAACTCAGAAAACTGCACAGAGGGTATGCAGAACGTGGAGTCAGGTTTTCGTCTATTTCTTTTTAAACATTCTAGCATCAAATCTTACACTAAGAAAATGCTGCGGACACAAAATGGGTGTAAGGAAGCTCAGGGTACCAAGTCAGATGAATTAGGTTAATCATGATTTTGATTAATATTTTACTGTTAGCACAAGTTAAATAGTCAAACCTAATTTTTTTTCTCTTACTTGAGTAAAAATCCCAAGTAACTGGAGAGTGGAAATCCACATAAATCTTTTAGATCCCATATGGATTTTCCTGTTAAAAAGAAAAAGATAAAAATACTTTTTTTTTTCCTTGAGAAGATAGTGTCAAGAACAAACCTACCATTAAAAATACGAGCAGCAGACTGGGGATCTCCCCAGTCAGCATCATGTGTCTTCCAGGCGAGAGGAAAACTCCCTGTAAGGCAGACAGGGAGTTTGAATTATTAAAGCTGAAGGAATAATCTACTCAGACTGATCAGAGCAGGGCTCTCTCGAGAGCTGGTGGGGTTTTTCCACTGGCAGGCAGACTACGTCATACGTGAGCTGCATTTAAAGCAGTCACCAGCATATTTCCATATTGCTTTCTCAAGCAGAATTTCTATTGCCGCAAGTATTTTCAAAAAAAAACAACCCACCACTCCACCACCACCCCTTCCCCCCCACTGTTAGAGATGTTCAAAAATCAAATGAGAAACCAGGATTCGATTCTCTAGAGAATGTAATGCAATTTCCCTATCACTTCACTGATTCCACAGGAGGAATTTTTTTAAATTATAAATAATTGCACCTACAAGTGCATAATGCAGCAAAATGAAAAATCTATGGTCACAGGGTTTCCCAGGCAACCTCTTTTCAATTGTCTGTTTCTAGGTGATACTGTTCGCTGCACTGTAAAACCTTGAACAGCCTCATCTGTCGCAGATTGAAAGAAAGGGCGGGGGGGGGGACAGCGGGAATCACCCCAACAAGAGGTTCATTCATTGAATATATGAATGCTATATGATTATTTTGACCCCTAATCATAATTTTTGATCTATCTGCATGGAAATGCTGGTTGTAAAGCAGCACGTTTAAGCATGAAAGAGATTTATTAACCTAAGTGCTACAAAAACTATTTTCAGTCTCCTACAAAAAAATGTGTCTTATATTTAAAAAAGTTTTCTGGCATCCCTGGGAAATATTTCTGGCTTCTTTCACAATTCAGTTGTGTCACTCACATTTAGTATGACTTCCACATCCTGAGGTTCCCCAAGAAGAAATGCCAATCACACTACAGACTCATGTATAGATAATCACTTGAATTGCAAACCACCTCAAACAGCCAGGCATGGGGAAAAACAACACTGATGAACCACTAGTCTCCTCTCTCCATGTCGGTTGCTTTGCTTCTAAATTCTCCAAGGTAAGGGGCACAGGAAGATACTGGGGGCTCTGCTCTCCCCTGCCAGCTTTGCCTGGTGTTATTGCGGAGGACTGGAAGCCCCAGCAGAGCTGAAAGCTTATGTTTTGGGAAAGTATTTATGTGTCACAGAGGTGCCTTCCTGTGTTGAGAAAGCAAATTAAAATCCTCCGGTTACTAAACCCAAAGGCTTTTCAGGTAGAGAGAACACCTCCCAGCCATAAGCTTTCCTTCCTCACTGCCAAACAACTTGCAAAAGAAATTCTCTTGTGAATTCCTGCAGCAGCCACATCTTCCCCTCCTCTTCCCCTCCAGCTCAGTTCCCTTTCCCTGACCTTTCCTTTCCCTGACCTTTTCTGTCTACTCGTCTATGTGAAAAACTGCCTTTGGGGTCAGTGCTGCCAAGGTGGGAAAAAGGAATGAGCCAGTAACCTAACACCCATGCAGTCACTAAGACATCATGAACGTATTTCAGGAGCCATCTTTCACCTCCTATCCTGCTGCAATAGCCACTCCTATAGTTCCTCAGCTAAAAAGAGAAGGAAACCCATGTTGCCTTTTTCTCTGTTTATATTCCCTTGAGAGGATGATGAAAAACCTCCCTGAATCTCAGCACGTACACACAGAAGGAAAGAAATACTTGGTTTTGCTTTATTGTCACCTCACTGCAGCATACCGCTTTCTCAATTTGTCCCTAATGTGATGTAGACTGGAGTTACAGGGGAAATGTGGTTGAGAACTTGCAGATCACTAATAATTAGCAAGGAGGTAAGGGAAAAATTTATGCCAATAAAATGAAAAGGTTAAAAGCTGACTCCGTACTTAGAATACCAAACAGACAATCACCACCTGGACACGTTCAATTACACTTCCATATTTTTACAGCAGCTTGACTCCAAATTTTACAATTAAGTCATGAAGTTAAAACAGTGGACCGAAAAGAAACATGACCCAGATTTGCTAACAACAATAACTGATAAACAGCAGGTAAAGCAGAACATGCAGAGGTGACAGCTTACAACAACTCAGAGAGGTAGAGCTTTTGAGACTCCCAAAGTAAAACTTGGTAACAGTTATTAAAAATTACAAAAGCAGATTGATTTCATCACCCATAAGATGCAAATTAATCCAGTTGTTTATTTTTGTTGGCTATATGTAAACATCAGAACACACACAGGTAATTGATGTTTTGCAAATAAATTGAAGTAGAAGAAAGAGAAAATCTGCTAGGTCCCACCTACAAGAGCAGGAGGGTGGTTACCCGGCATTACTATTTCATAAGAGTTATTCTGAAATGTTTAACCCACTTCGCAAGACAGTTAACAAATCCAAACCCTGATTGATTTTTATTGCAGATGGAAGAGCATCCTGCAAGAACCAGTATGGGACTGGCTGGTCAGCCAGCTCCTCATGGAGGTAAAGCATCACATGGAAAAGAGAGGATGGACGAGTGGCACAAGTTTAATCACTTCAATATCACAGGCACCATTTCTAATTGCAAAATATGACCTTCATGGGAGTACCTCAGTGCAGAAAGAAGCCTCGTCAGTATTGATGCCCTGCTACTGTCAGGAAGCAATAGCTCTACAGGACTCCCCTACATGACATGGCTTTGGAGGGCAGTACAACCCAGTCATTTTTCAATTTTATAATAATATACACAAAACACTTGTCTCCATTCCAGACCTCTGATGAAACTTACTCTATAGTAAGAAGATATTTTGGAAGCTTTAGGAAAAAAACCCAGCTCTTTGCTCTGGTTTTATTTACATTTTTCTCCACAATACTATGACCATACAGACAAGCTGTACGTCTCCTGGATTAAAGCCCCTCACTGTCACCTGCCTTCGCTATTACCTACTGGCTGCTAGGTAATACACTGAAATAGACTGAATTAGACTCGTAGCTGAGAAAAGCAAAACTAGAAGTCTTTTTCCTCAAGAAAATGCAGAAAAAAAATATTGAGATGCAGCCCATGATCTTGCCAATATCACTCTCCTCTCTTGTCAAATGTTTTATTAGCTTATTAAAAAAAACTTACAAAACATAATCTCATTACAGCTGAGTAATCTTAAATCTTCTTTAGATAGTTTTTCTGGATATACAGATGGCCATAATCCTTAAAAGCCCTCTATTAATTACCTCGATTAGATGTGCAAAACATAATAAATGATTGAGAAGTTTGAGGAGGGAGCGAGTGGCTCATGGGCTCAGCAACAAAAAGTTTGTAATGTGCAGAAACCTTTGCCTTTGTATCACCAGTGCAAGCTGGCCAGTGTCAAAGGATGGAGAGGTACCACCATCTGACAGCAACTACACAAAATGGCTTGAAATGAATGGATGGACCCAAAGAGAGTGTCCTCCTCAAATCCGAAATCTGGCAGCTGTAAGGTGTAGTACAAGGTTTCTGTTCCCACTGAGCAAAGAACCTGTGCTACCGTCTCCTGGTATTTGTGATTTTCAGCAAGTTAAAGGACTGGCTGCTGGTTTTGCCATCCTGCTGTAGGCAGTGAGCTCTGCGGTAGGCACAGGTCTGCCTCCTGTACCAGCCATCCCTGGACCACCCTGCAGCCACGAGCTCCCACGACTGCTTCCCTGGGACTGGCACCACCAAAAGAGCTTTGCTGTGCAGACATCTCCCAGGGGGTCCTACGAATGAGAAACTTCAAAATTAGAAAATAACTGTTGTGACAATCCCAATGTTCCAACAGCAGCAGAAAAAGAGCCTTAAGACTGATTTTTCAGGAGCAGTTTTACCTGGTATAGCCTGAAGAGATCGAACCAAGACCTGTGCACAACCCTGGCATTAGAGTGCTGCTAATGGCTGTTTCCCATTCTGAAGTTAACTGAATTAGCAAAATCTCCTTTCCCTCTAACATGGGATCAGTTAAATTTTGAGAGCTTGGATGCCATTCTGAATACATCACCAACCCAGTTAACAGGCTTCAGTGTTTTATTACTTTGCAATAAAACCCAAGCAATGTTGGTATTATTGAGACCCACCCTGCTAGGGAAGGAGAGAAGCGGAGCCACTTTACTGAGGGTCTGAGCAAGAGCCTCAAAGTATTTTCCTAATGCTTCACAATAAGGAAAAAAGTGAGGCATAATTAAATACATTAGAAATGAGAGCTTTCTATCAAGGGTAAACAAAATGAACCTAAAATATTATCATAATTACCGCTGATTGCCTTTGTTTCAGACATGGAATTTGCAGGGTTACTAAGTGGCAGCATTAAAAAGCCGTAAAACTAAAAAGTTATTACAGAATTCAGTCACTTATGGAGGCAGCATAAATATGAATCATGTTCTCTCAACCAAAGCCTACTTTTTAATACAGAAAGCACAGCTGAAAGCCTATTTTTTCAGAAAATATAACAGATTTTCCTTATGAATGAGGACATTTCAAAGGTTATTAGAGTTTTCAAAACGACTTAATGCCATCAGCCTGTGGATTTAAAATGTTTACTTGCAAAGAGAATGTGCTAGAAAGTGCTGTTTCACTCTCTTATTAAATATGGTTTCTGGTTAAATAAAAAAATGAACAGGATAGCCACAGAGTCCTGCTAAATGCTCCTCTCGCCAGCAAAGCTAGGGCTTCACCCACTGGATGTGATAAACCCAAGAAGGCTGAAAGACAAGCTTCCTCCTCTCCCATTTGATACGACTCCATACTTGGCTGTAAAATGAGAGCATGAAATTAGAAATAAGTGTAATAAATACAGGCATCTTTATAGGAGTGCCATAGTCTGATTCCAGAGTGCCCTGCCAGTTCTCCAGCAGTTTCTTAAGATTTCAGTATGATAGTGATGGGGTGGTTTTACCTCTCTTACAGCCCTCTTGTCTTCCAGATATGGTCAGTAATAGCATCTTGGTATTTTCCACTCTGAAAAAAATCTTGCCTTTCTAGCCTGATGTGACATGGCAGAAGCAAGGGATGAAAGCCTTCAGTCGCGGCAGTAAGAGCCGTAGAGGTGCACAGGGTGCATGTTTCCTGGTGTGAAAAAGCAAACTAACATGGTGTGGTTCAATTTTTACCAAGAAGCCACCTCCATATCAGGGAATA